CTCCCATTTGGAGGAAAGGTGATAATTTTAGGAGGTGATTTTAGACAGAAAACATGAGACTTCAAACTACCAATTCAATTTCCAATGCTATAGAGATTAAATTTTTTTGGATCGGGTGTTGAGCATCGGTGATGGAACTATTGGTCAAGGAGATGATGAAGAAATGAAAATTGAATTTCCTAAAGATTTGCTTATAAAGAATACATGTGACCTTTTTTCATCAATTGTTAATAGCACTTATCCATCATTGTTGGAAAACATCACTGACCACACGTATTTCCAACATAAGCCATATTAGCACCAACAAATGAAATCATTAACCAATTAAATGATTACATGCTATCACTGATTCTTTGAGAATTAAATTCATATTTGAGTTCAAATAGTACATGTTCTACTAAAGGGCAATTAGGAGCACATGATGATGTTCACACCCCTGAATTTCTTAATACTATCACTACTTTTGGACTTCCAAATCATGCGGTAAAATTGAAAGTTAGTGTTCTGATAATGTTGTTGAGAAATATGGATCAATCTTCTGGATTGTGTAATGGAACTAGACTTATCATAACTTAGTTGGGTAAATATTTTTTGGAGGAAAGTGATATCAAGCATCAATATTGGACAAAAGGTTTTTATTCCTCGATTGTCCTTAATTTCATCTGATAATAAAATTCCTTTCAAATTTCAACGTAGACAATTTTCAATAAATATCTTCTTTGTAATGAAGTAAAAAGTGGAGCGAGTATGTTAGCTATGACCATCAATGACTATATTTAAAATTGGGTGTTAGAAAGCCACCTGAGAGTTCTCAATTATATGACCCTCTTCGTCTCGCAGTCTGCAACACAAGTACAAGAAACCAAGCAGTGAAATAAGCATTGTCTAATACTATAGTTAGCCTCTAGCAAAAATTAAAACAGCAATAAATCCTAGCTTGTCTCTCGCATATCTTCACAACATTCGCACCAACATCTGGCTCACATTTGTGAGTTTTAACATAATACTCTTCAGGTTTATATGGAACATCCTGCTACGAAAAAACTTTGACTTAATCATACAAAATATCAAATTATATCCACACTAATCGTCTAGCTTCCATTCGCTTTGCAAATAGAATCATCCAAAACCAAAAGAAAACGCTAGATTAGTTCTCAATAGTAACAATAAATAATTATTATCACTCATATAATCCAACATCTATATACAATTGCAAATATATATGTATTTGAATGCATCATACCGTGAAAAATTAGTTGAAAAGAGAGGGCAAAAAGGTTAATAAAGACGAGTATCATACTCTTATGTATGTTAACTCATACAATGCATATGTGGAAATTTTGTTGACCGTTATTACAGGCGGAATCCGCAATGTCTGCATCTTTCTGGTTGAATTTTCCTCTACTTCCACCAATTCTGCAACAATTGAAGCCTCTCCTCCACTCTACACCATCATAAAGTAAGTTCAAAACAAGAAAATACAATGCATATCGTGGCTAACTCACTTAATTGAAGACAATGAGAATGATTTACCGAGTCACTGGGAACAACCATGTTGACTTCAATTTTTGTAGTGCAATTGAGATTATCGGAGTTGGAGTTCTTCTCGCACTTATCCAACTTGAATTTGGAGACAATTTAAGTTCCAGCAACATTGGATGCGAGAAAGGAAAAAGAAAGTAGGAAGATGATAAGGGTGACACACAAACGCAACACCATTTTTGGGTGGTTACGGTTTTGAATTGTGGAGTACTCTTCTAATTGGTTAAGGAAGAGTAACGTAGGTTATCCCTTTGTTTCTTTTCTCCCATATGCACGAGCGTTCAACATATATCTACATTCTTAAATTGGGAATGTTCATTTTTAAATTTAATTTTATCGTTATTATTATCAACAATATTCCAAATAAATTAATTATTATTCAAACCAAGTCATCAATAATCAATAATAAATAAATAATAGAGTATTCAATGACATTAATAAATTATTCAAATACATGCAGAATCAAGTTTTACCATTGAAATTATATAGATCTAGAACAAGACCTAAGGATGGTTTTCTTGGGGACGTGAAAGTGAATGTGGAGAGAAGAAAGAAAGTGACGTAACATGCAAAATAGAGAGAAGCGGTTTGGCGATTATTCTTCTTCAAATAGAAAAAGCAAAACAAAACCACTCCAAAACCACTCTAAACAAATACGTGAGTGTAGTTTATTAAATTTGAACGGTCAAAATTAAACTAAAAATATGGTATTTTTTTTAATGGTCATGCAGATATTAAATATTTTTTAATACTGGTCATACATCATATATTTATGTGAATGAAATTTATAGTTCTCATATATTTTATAATAAAAAAGTTATCACTTTGTTCAAGAGATACACATAGGTGAAAATCGAATTATTTCATTCGAACTCGTTGTATTAGTATGTGTGTTAAAATTTTGTAACTTTTTAAACTAAGAAACCTATACACATTAAAGTATGCCACTTTATATTGTCAATTTTCATTGTCTCCATATTCAATTTGACATTATTAGTGAAGTATTTGTATTGTGATGAATTAGTTATAGCTATTTGTTTCGTATACAAAGAAAATCACAAAGAATACTAAATTCAGGATCAGAATAACAGAACATATATTTTTTTTGTCCGAAATGTTAAGAACTAAAATGACACTAATTTGAGGAAGCAACAATTGAATCTGGCATGTTTGTGGTGTAGGAATTATGGCGAACACCACGAGTACATACCAATTAACATATCATTTACACATAGGGAATTCTCTCATACGTGTTTCGAAAAATAAATGCCAACTTTACTATCACAAAAACATTCCAATCATATATTTTTTTTTAATAAATAAAAACCAAAATTTTTCCATTAGTTGGGTTGACACATATATAGATAAGAAGATCCTATTATGCTTTATAGCAAATCATGTTTATAGTATAACTATTGAACTTAAAATCCTTATTAATGATTTTGCTTATGATTTTTGTTGGTCTCTTTCTGCTTTAGTGTATTATCTGTTTCATCTATTCTTCTTATTGCAGTTTCTACAAATTTTCATTAGAAATAGAAGAAGTCAGTTTTCTCTGTAAGAAGTCATTAAAAGTTAACTTTTTCTATCTCTAATAATTTTCTTCACGCGTGAAAACCACTTGGGATGGGTTTCTACCATCATTATTATCATATACTATCTTTTATTCCTAAATGTGTTCAATTGTAACTTCATCTTGTCTAATACGTTTACTCTTCCAACATGACAAGAGAACAAAATTTACAAAGCAACAATTGAATAAACTTTTTCTCTAATGGATTAATTCTTTGATACATACATGCATTCATTCCTAAAACCTATAAAACAATTGGAAAGAGAATTTTCCTTATTTCTACCTGTCACAAGATAGAAGCAAAAACATGAAAATGAATAAAATACAGTGCACAAATTCTAATCAGAGAGACTGATACATAACTGCTATTCACTTTATGTCTCAATCTTTAATCGGCAAACAAACTTACAGAATCAATGTATGAAGTCAATGTAATCAAACAAATGAAAATGAAACCCTGATCAATAAGAAATCAAAGAAAAAAAATCAAACAATTGAAAATGAAACCCTAATCATCAAGAAATCAAATGGAACCCTGGGTCTAAAAGAGAAAAAAGGCTGACCTGAAGTAGAAAGAGAGAAGGAAAAAGTGAGCGAGAGAACGAGCGAGGGAGGGAGAGAGAAGGTTCGCAGAAAGAGGGGTCGTGAGTGAGGGTCGCACATTTGCTTGCAATTTCTTCACTTTTCAGTAAAACCAGGACGATTGCATGCATTATTCATGTTTTTAGGTACGTTAAAAACACATTTATTTATAAATAAATTATATTTATATATTTATAACATTAATAAAAAGGATATTTTATTTCGATGTCCATATTTTTTTGTTTTATTATTTTTAATTAACTTGTTTAACTAACTTTATATCTTTAATCTACAATGTCATTCTGTCTATATTTCCCTTTACAAAGTGAATATCATTTTCAATAAATATTTTTGGCTTCTATTTTTATATGGACTATTTTATCTTTTATTTATTTTTTAACAACTACCTTTTGTATCATTAATTTCTCATTATTTTCCTTCTTTATTTTTTTTAATACAATGCAGGCACGAAGTGCCTTTTTTCTGCTAGTAATTATAATGAGTTATACATCTATCCCCATTATATATCTTGGTCAGTTTTTATTTTCTTTTTTGGGCTTATTTTTCGTAGGATTAAACAAGGATACAAACATTTTGGGCCTGGTGGCAGTGTGGATCTGGTGTGGCTAACCCAAACATTGTTTCCCTCCTTCAATTCATAGCCATTCTTGCGTTTCAGTTTCACCTTCATTTCGTTCCTGCCAAAACCGTTACCTGTAGAGGCTCCACCAAACTCATAGCTTTGAGATTCAGTTTCAAAGAATTTAATACTGTTTTTCTGAAATCTCTCTGTTAGGTAACCTAACTAACCTAACTACTTTTGGACTTCCAAATCATGAGGTAAAATTGAAAGTTAGTGTTCTGATAATGTTGTTGAGAAATATGGATCAATCTTCTGGATTGTGTAATGGAACTAGACTTATCATAACTCAGTTGGGTAAATATGTTTTTGGACGAAAAAGTGATATCAAGCAACAATATTGGACGAAAGGTTTTTATTCCTCGGTTGTCCTTAATTTCATCTGATAATAAAATTCATTTCAAATTTCAATGTAGAAAATTTTCAATAAATATCTCCTTTGTAATGAATTAAAAAGTGGAGCAAGTATGTTAGCTATGACCATCAATGACTATATTTAAAATTGGGTGTTAGAAAGCCACCTGAGAGTTCTCAATTATATGACCCTCTTCGTCTCGCAGTCTGCAACACAAGTACAAGAAACCAAGCAGCGAAATTAGCATTGTCTAACACTATAGTTAGCCTCTAGCAAAACCTAAAACAACAATAAATCATAGCTTGCCTCTCGCATATCTTCACAATATTCGCACGAGCATCTGGCTCACATTTGCGTGTTTTAACATAATACTCTTCAGGTTTATATGGAACATCCTGCTAAGAACAAACTTTAACTTAATCATACAAAATATCAAATTATATCCACACTAATCGTCTAGCTTCCATTCGCTTTGAAAATAGAATCATCTAAAACCAAAAGAAAACGCTAGATTAGTTCTCAATAGTAACAATAAATAATTATTATCACTCATATAATCCAACATCTATATACAATTGCAAACATATATGTATTTGAATGCATCATACCGTGAAAAATTAGTTGAAAAGAGAGGGCAAAAAGGCTAACAAAGACGAGTATCACACTCTTATGTATGTTAACTCATAAAATGCATATGTGGAAATTTTGTTTACCGTTATTACAGGCAGAATCCGCAATGTTGGCATCTTTCTGGTTGAATTTTCCTCTACTTCCACCAATTCTACAACAATCGAAGCCTCTCCTCCACTCTACACCATCATAAAGTAAGTTCAAAACAAGAAAATACAATGCATAACGTGGCTAATTCACTTAATTGAAGACAATGAGAATGATTTACCGAGTCACTAGGAACAACCATGTTGACTTCAATTTTGGTGGTGAAATTGAGATTATCGGAGTTGGAGTTCTTCTCGCACTTCTCCAACTTGGATTTGGAGATAATTTAAGTTCCAGCAACATGGGATGCGAGAAACGAAAAAGAAAGTAGGAAGATGATAAGGGTGACACACGAACGCATTGCCATTTTTGGGTGGTTACGGTTTTGAATTGTGGAGTACTCTTCTAATTGGTTAAGGAAGAGTAACGTAGGTTATCCCTTTGTTTCTTTTCTCCCATATGCACGAGCTTTCAACATATATCTACATTCTGAAATGGTGAAGTTGTAGTGGTAAATTTAATGTGATCTTGATTATGATCAACAAGATGCCAAATAAATTAATGAGTATTCAAACCAAAGCATCAATAATTAATAATAAATAAATAAAAGAGTATTCAATGACATTAATAAATTATTCAAATACATGCAGAATCAAGTTTTACCATCGAAATTATATAGATCTAGAACAAGACGTAAGGATGGTTTTCTTGGGGACATGAAAGTGAATGTGGAGAGAATAAAGAAAGTGACGTAACATGCAAAATAGAGAGAAGCAGTTTGACGATTATTCTTCTTCAAACAGCAAAAGCAAAACAAAACCACTCCAAAACCACTCTAAACAAATACGTGAGTGTAGTTTATTAAATTTGAACGGTCAAAATTAAACTAAAAATATGGTATTTGTTTTAATGGTCATGCAGATATTAAATATCTTTTAATACTGGTCATACATCATGTATTTATGTGAATTAAATTTATAGTTCTCATATATTTTATAATAAAAAAGTTATCACTTTGTTCAAGATATACATATAGGTGAAAATCGAATTATTTCATTCGAACTCGTTGTATTTGTATGTGTGTTAAAATTTTGTAACTTTTTAAATTAAGAAACCTATACACATTAAAGTATGCCATGTTATATTGTCAATTTTCATTGTCTCCATATTCAATTTGACATTATTAGTAAAGTATTTGTATTGTGATGAATTAGTTATAGTTATTTGTTTCGTATACAAAGAAGATCGCAGAGAGTACTAAATTCAGGATTGGAATAACAGAACATATGTTATTTTTGTCCAAAATGTTAAGAACTAAAATGACACTAATTTGAGGAAGCGACAATTGAATCTGGCATGTTTGTGGTGTAGGAATTATGGCGAACACCACGAGTACATACCAATTAACATATCATTTACGCATAGGGAATTCTCACATACGTGTTTCAAAAAATAAATGCCAACTTTACTATCACAAAAACATTCAAATCATATATTTTTTTTTAATAATTAAAAACCAAACCTTTTTCCATTAGTTGGGTTGACAACATATATAGATAAGAAGATCCTATTATGCTTTATAGCAAATCATGTTTATAGTATAACTATTGAACTCAAAATCCTTATTAATGATTTTGCTTATGATTTTTGTTGGTCTCTTTCTGCTTTAGTGTATTCTCTGTTTTATCTATTCTTCTTATTGCAGTTTCTACAAATATTCATTAGAAATAGAAAAAGTTAGTTTTCTCTATAAGAAGTCATTAAAAGTTAACTTTTTCTATCTCTAATAATTTTCTTCACGCGTGAAAACCACTTGGGATGGGTTTCTACCATCATTATTATCATATACTATCTTTTATTCCCAAATGTGTTCAATTGTAACTTTATCTTGTATAATACGTTTACTCTTCCAACATGACAAGAGAACAAAATTTACAATACAACAATTGAATAAACTTTTTCTCAAATGTATTAATTCTTTGATAATTGCATGCATTCATTTCTAAAACCTATAAAACAATTGGAAAGAGAATTTTCCTTATTTCTACCTGTAACAAGATAGAAGCAAAAACATGAAAATGAATAAAATACAGTCCACAAATTCTAATCAGAGAGATTGATACATAATTGCTATTTACTTTATGTCTCAATCTTTAATCGGCAAACAAACTTACAGAATCAATATATGAAGTCAATGTAATCAAACAAATGAAAATGAAACCATGATCAATAAGAAATCAAAGAAAAAAAATCAAACAATTGAAAATGAAACCCTAATCATCAAGAAATCAAATGGAACCCTGGGTCTAAAAGAGAAGAAAGGCAGACCTGAAGTAGAAAGAGAGAAGGAAAAAGCGAGTGAGAGAACGAGCGAGGGAGGGAGAGAGAAGGTTTGCAGAATGAGGGGTGGTGAGCGAGGGTTGCACATTTGCTTGCAATTTCTTCACTTTTCAGTAGAACTAGGACGATTGCATGCGTTATTCATGTTTTTAGGTACATTAAAAACACATTTATTTATAAATAAATTATATTTATATATTTATAACATTAATAAAAATTATGTTTTATTTCTATTTCCATATTTTTTTTTTTTATTATTTTTAATTAACTTTTTTAACTAACTTTATATCTTTAATCTACAATGTCATTCTGTCTATATTTCCCTTTACAAAGGGAATATCATTTTCAATAACTACTTTTGTTTTCTATTTTTATATGGACTATTTTATCCTTTATTTATTTTTTAATAACTACCTTTTGTATCATTAATTTCTCATGATTTTCCTTCTTTATTTTTTTAATACAATGCGGGCACGAAGTGCCTTTTTTCTACTAGTAATTATAAGGAGTTATACATCTATCCCCATTATATATCTTGGTCAGTTTTTATTTTCTTTTTTGGGCTTATTTTTCGTAGGATTAAACAGGGATACAAACATTTTGGGCCTGGTGGCAGTGTGGGTCTGGTGTGGCGAACCCAAACATTGTTTCCCTCCTTCAATTCAAAGCCATTCTTCCGTTTTAGTTTCACCTTTATTTCTTTGCTGCCAAAACCGCTATCTGCAGAAGCTCCACCAAACTCACAGCGTTGAGATTCAGTTTCAAAGAATTTAATACTATTTTTCTGAAATCTCTCTTTTAGGTAACCTAACTAACCTAACTACTCTTTTTGAAAGTTTTTTTTATATGATTTGAATGTTTTTGTGATTGTAAAGTCGGTGTTTGTTTTTCGAATCACGTATGTGAGAATTCCTTATGTGTAATGATATGCTAATTGTATGCACTCATGGTGTTCGCCATAATTCCTACACCACAAACATGCCAGATTCAATTGTTGCTTCCCCAAATTAGTGTCATTTTAGTTCTTAACATTTCGGGCAAAAAAATATATGTTCTGTTATTCCGATCCTGAATTTAGTACTCTCTGTGATCTTCTTTGAATATGAAACAAATAACTATAACTAATTCATCACAATACAAATACTTGACTAATAATGTCAAATTGAATATGGAAACAATGAAAATTGACAATATAACGTGGCATACTTTAATGAGTACAGGTTTCTCAGTTTAAAAAGTTACAAAGTTTTAACACACATACTAATACAACGAGTTCGAATGAAATAATTCAATTTTCACCTATATGTATATCTTTTGAACAAAGTGATAACTTTTTTTATTATAAAATATATGAGAACTATAAATTTAATTCACATAAATATATGGTGTATGACCAGTATTAAAAGATATTTAATATCCGCATGACCATTAAAAAAAATACCATATTTTTAGTTTAATTTTGACCGTTCAAATTTAATAAACTACACTCTTTTATTTATTTATTATTGATTATTGATGCTTTGGTTTGAATACTCATTAATTTATTTGACATCTTAATGATCATAATCAAGATCACATTAAATTTACCACTGCAACTTCACCATTTCAGAATGTAGATACATGTTGAAAGCTCGTGGATATGGGAGAAAAGAAACAAAGGGATAACCCACGTTACTCTTCCTTAACCAATTAGAAGAGTACTCCACAATTCAAAATTGTAACCACCAAAAAATGGCATTGCGTTCGTGTGTTACCCTTATCATCTTCCTACTTTTTTTTTCCTTTCTCGCGTCCCATGTTGCTGGAACTCAAATTATCTCCAAATCCAAGTTGGAGAAGTGCGAGAAGAACTCCAACTCCGATAATCTCAATTGCACCACCAAAATTGTAGTCAACATGGTTGTTCCCAGTGACTCGGTAAATCATTCTCATTGTCTTCAATTAAGTGAGTTAGCCATGTTATGCATTGTATTTTCTTGTTTTGAACTTACTTTATGATGGTGTAGAGTGGAGGAGAGGCTTCAATTGTTGCAGAATTGGTGGAAATAGAGGAAAATTCAACCAGAAAGATGCAGACATTGCGGATTCCGCCTGTGATAACGGTCAACAAAACTTCTACATATGCAATGTATGAGTTAACATACATAAGAGTATGATACTCCTCTTTATTAGCCTTTTTGGCCTCTCTTTTCAACTAATTTTTCACGGTATGATGCATTCAAATACATATATATTTGCAATTGTATATAGATGTTGGATTATATGAGTGATAATAATTATTTATTGTTACTATTAAGAACTAATCTAGCATTTTCTTTTGGTTTTGGATGATTCTATTTTCAAAGTGAATGGAAGCTAGACGATTAGTGTGGATATAATTTGATATTTTGTATGATTAAGTTAAAGTTTGTTCTTAGCAGGATGTTCCATATAAACCTGGAGAGTATTAAGTTAAAACACGCAAATCTGAGCCAGATGTTGGTGCAAATGTTGTGAAGATATGCAAGAGGAAAGCTATGTTTTATTGTTGTTTTAATTTTTTCTAGAGGCTAACTATAGTATTAGGCAATGCTAATTTCACTACTTGGTTTCTTGTACTTGTGTTGCAGATTGCGAGATGAAGAGGCCATATAATGTAGAACACTCAGCTTGCTTTCTAACACCTAATTTTAAATATAGTCATTGATGGTCATAGCTAACATACTTGCTCCACTTTTTACTTCATTACAAAGGAGATATTTATTGAAAATTGTCTACGTTGAAATTTGAAAGGAATTTTATTATCAGATGGAATTAAGGACAATCGAGGAATAAAAACCTTTCATCCAATATTGCTGTTTGATATCACTTTTTCCTCCAAAAACATATTTACCCAAATGAGTTATGATAAGTCTAGTTCCATTACACAATCCAAAAGATTGATTTATATTTCTCAACAACATTATCAAAACACTAACTTTCAATTTTACCGCATGATTTGGAAGTCCAAAAGTAGTTATAGTATTAAGAAATTCAGGGGTGTGAACATCATCATGTGCACCTAATTACCCTTTAGTAGAACATGTACTATCTGAACTCAAATATGAATTTAATTCTCCAAGAATCCGTGATAGCATGTAATCATTTAATTGGTT